GGGCAACTTCCCCTGCTGCCCAGCTGCCATGTTGACCCAGTTCTGCTCGGCTGCCAGGCCACGGCTGTTGCTGTTGAAGTAGTTGATGACAGCTGGCGTGGGCGTGGGGATGGGGGTCGGGATGGTGACAGGAGTGGAGATGGGCGTGGGAGTCACAGCACGGCGTCTCTCCTCAGGAGCTGGTGGAGCAACAGGGTAGCTGGCCATGGAGGCCATGTTGGAGGGGGGCCGTGGTCTTGGAGCAGCCGTGGCATAGTACGGTGCCATGGTCACCGGGGCCAGCAGCGGTGTGACGGCGCGGGTGTCAGGCAAAACAGGGGGGGGTACGGCTGTCGTTACCACCACAGGTGGTGCTGGTGGCGGCAGGGAAACAGGTTTGGACTCCCCTGTTACCATGACTGGTGTCATTGTTGCAACAGGCATCTCAAGGCTGTACCGGCTTGTCATCCCCTGCTTAAGCTTCTTCCACCCCAAGTGATATATCTCAAGCATGTTCAGCAGTAGGGAGACAGAGGCCACCACCAACATGAAGATGATGAAGATAGTCTTCTCAGTGGGCCTTGAGATGAAGCAGTCCACAGTGTGTGGGCAAGGTGAGCGGCTGCACTGGTAGACTGGCTTTAGCTCGAAGCCATATAGGAAGTACTGGCCCACAATGAAGCCCACTTCAAACAGAGTCTTGAAAATGATGTTGAAGACGTAGGTACGGAGCAGGGCACCCCCCATACGGATTCGACCACGTTCATCACGAATCGGGAGCTTCTCTTTCCCCCTTTTGACAAGAGGATCCTTGATGTTATTGCTGCCACCTCCACCACCGCTGCCAGATGCTGCTGCTCCTGGGTAGTTGCTGTCTTTGACGCTTCCCTTCTTTTTCAGCTCCTCTTTCTCTTTCCTCTTCTCCTCCATGCGTACAATGTGCAGCACATGGCCCAGGTAGATGAGGGTTGGGGTGGAGACAAAAATGATCTGCAGCACCCAGAAGCGGATGTGAGAAATGGGGAAGGCTTTGTCATAGCAAACATTTTCGCAACCAGGTTGCTGAGTGTTGCATGTAAAGTCCGACTGCTCGTCTCCCCAGACCTCCTCAGCGGCAGCCCCCAGCACCAGTATCCTGAAGATAAACAGCACCGTCAGCCAAACCTTGCCAATAACCGTGGAGTGCTCCTGCGCATTCTCTAACAGTCTCCCCAGAAAGCTCCAGTCACCCATTGTTTCAGATTTCTAACCTACAATAAGAACATTAGAGCAATTAGAGCAATGTTAAAAAAAATCTTATAATTACACAATGCCGGGGCAGAACAGATTGATCCTTGACAAACGACATTTCTTAAATGCACTTCATTTTCCAGAATATTGCACACTTATCTTAAGAACTATGTAACCCTGTGACCATGCAGCCATGGGTTTTGGTGAGCAGAGAAGTGGGATGCTTAGTGCTTTCACCTAGCCAATGCAGATTTAAGTGTCTATACACCACAGGCAAGAAAGATTCATAACTAGAATTTCTACAAGATTTAAATACTTAAAACCCATGATTGCTCAGTTTCCTCCATCCGAGATGCCTCTAACTGTTTTTGTCTATTTTTAGAAAAGAACAGATGGAAATCAGTTCAATTAAACAGAATACTCCCTCTATTAATGTGCCTGCACTTGTATCAGAGTGTGATACAAAGTTTGCCTAACTCTAATAATTTTATTATCAGGACTTACTTACTTACTCCAGCATTCAGGAGGTTAGTAATGTCCCAGGTCTCTGCTATTTTTGTACTGCACAAACACAGACAAATAATCACTCAAAACCTACGGAATTTACAATTTAATTTTGGAATGTGTACACCACCAACAAACATGTTCTCAAAGCCTAGTTGTGTTTGAGTCTCTTTATTTCTAAAAAGAGAATTATCTGAGTAACTTGAAATATTGGGAAGAATAAGGAATTCTGAGAGGAATGGTGGAAAGTTTTCTGTGCCATTTCCCCTACTATCCCACCAGCTGGTGTCACTGAACCACATGTACTGCAACATTATTTAAACAAATGAAAAAAAAACACCTTAAGGGCACTTCAGCAACAGCGCACAGAGATTTTCTTGGAAAAATAAAATTACATCCTGTGACCTTATTTCTGTTGCACACAACTGGTATATATTCTCAGCAGTTTCCACCAATTCAGGTATAACAGGCTTCTCATGTCCAGTTCTAGGCAGTGACACAACTTCTGATTTGGAAAGGCTTAAAGCAGAACATTTTTTTTTTTGAGATCCAATTACTCACAAGCTGCCTTCAACTGAGAAACAAGCTATTATCGCTGGTACCACTTCTGTCATCCTTGGCCTGTTCCTGATCAGTATATATGTAAGAAGGACATTTCATTCTCCTAATGAACACACTTCTATACCTTACATGTCAACCTTCAACTGAAAACAAAATACAAAAATTCACTTCTAGCTAACTTCAATACCTGCAGAAATACTTATATCTTAATTACGATTCAGATGTAACAACTTGCACGCAGAAAACCACCAGCAATCAGAAAAGACTGATTATCCTCTTGTTTAAAAATCTCAGAATATTTTGTAAATATAATTGAATTGCACTTTACTCCTTTCCTTTTCAACTCGCAGTTCGTTTCCAAATATCCATGTGTCTTATAATTCCCAAGAAAAAAATGCGTGCATCGTTACAGGTAGGAATTTACCACTGAGAAAATGTACTATTCTAAGTACTACATTTAATGTGATTTCCAAAAATGATGTCACTGTTTTTCCAGAGTAACCATTTCCAAAGTCTATACTGAACTTCTACTAGACTTTTAGTTAAGGTATATAAAGAAAGTAAAGTTCTTTAAGTTACTTTTTTAATTTGATTTTACTATGAAGCAATGAAATACTTTTCACATAAAAAGCGACAACACACCCATTAGTATTTTGTATTTTGTAAATCCTAGAATACTAATTCACTTTTTGTCCCCACAAAATTAATTCAACAAAAACTTCCCCTAAAAAAAAACCCAACCCCAAAACTATTCTACAAAAATACATTCTCTTTAATATAATTGAATTCTTTTTCCAGCATAGCATGGTAAACTGCAAATGATGATACTAACCATGAAATACCAATTTTGTGTAGTAATGTCCCTGGTCCTAAACAATTTTTATCATTTTTTTAAAATATATGCAGATTTTTTTAAAGAGTGTGGGATTTTTTCCCCTCCTAAAATAGTAGCCCAAAACTGAATACATTGTTAGAATACTTTATTTTTATAATCCTAACTTAATATGTTTATATGATTTTAAAATTTAATCCTCAATCTTAATTTTATGAGGTTTACAACATTTTGGATGGTGAAGTAATTTTAATCTTGAGAGTATTAATTTTTCAGGACTAATGAATTAATTTTGTGTCTTTTTTACTCAAAATCATTTGAAGATATACTCAGTTTAGTTCTATCTTTGGACAGAAATGAGCTGTTGTTTTGGAATGTTCTTATTTTGTGCAGGAATATTTAGGAACAGCAAAATGAATAATGTGATAGTTGATGGATTAAAGAAATTCAACATAACCCCAAATCCAGTATTCTGTTTCTGTGCTAGTCTTTGCATTATTCTGTGCCTCTCAGTTCAGTTCTCTCTACCTCACTCTTTGTTTTCTGTGCAGATCAAGCAAAATAGGCAGCTGAGATAATAAGTAGTCAAAGTTGCTGTTTGTTCTCCTGTTACTAATAGCAAGTTTATTAATCAGCAGACGTTAGGACATTAAATCTTCTTTAATTCATTAACTATGGTCTATTTTCAGCACGGCTGCCATTACCCTTGTGTCCAATGGCACAGAGGCTGCACACTGATCTCCATAAAGACAGATATTACCTTCTATTGTTCCATTGATCTGCCCTCACGAAAAATTATAACCCCTGAACTGTAAGGTGAACAGAGGTGGTGATCTTTTTTTTTTCCTCCTACAGGCACGCTGTAGTATATCTCTGTCTGAGATCAATAGGCAATGTTGACTACAATGAAAGTAGGATTTTTTAATGCTTTTCTGAAGAATTATCTAGTGATTAGTGGAAGAAGAAAAAGAACAATTTGTAGAAAGTAAAGGAAAGATGACAAATAATACCATCTAACTTACTCTCAGTCATTCTCCATTCACTAATACTACTGAAGATGTTTCTTCTTTTTACTACAGGTCAACAATGCCCAGACTGAGATAATTCAGGACACCACAGATGTGACACAATGCATTTCTCAAAGGATACACTCTAAAAACCTATTCTAACGCTTACATTAATTAAAAGACTTATTTCTGTCAGAACGTGCAAATTCATCCTGTATACAAAGGAAAATGTTTAAACAGCGAGCAGGTACTTCACAGCATCTTAACCGCACAGAGGTGAAAACGTCAGTGTTCATCTTGGCATGAATTGTAGCCTTCACTACAAATGTGTACCACCCACAGTACGTAAATAGGGGAAGGACATAATTTCCAAGGGCAATGCAAAGATACCTATCTCCTCTGGCTGCAGGTTCTCAGAAATCCAGGTCCCGTATCTTTCTTCAATGTCAGTACATTCTCCAGTGAGTAATTCTTAAAAGTCAATGTAACTTATCCAAAAATCACATCAACAATGTTTAAGGGAGGCCTTGATACTAATAGTGATTAAAAGACATCAAACAAAACCGGAGGGCTCACAGAATACATTACCAGATTATGACACTTGGTGTATCTTTGGGGGTTTTTTATACTGGTATATCTAAAAAATGTCCCTTAGCGATTATTTAGAAACCTAACAGGTGCCCTTGTCTGAATACGATTTCTTAAATTCAGTCCACATTTTCTTTCATTTCTTGTGACAGACTAAAATCTTGGGATTTAGGTTTTTATCTTAAAAATTATCTAGATTTTATAAACCTATATGAGAAATAAATGCTGCTAAAATAAAAAAAAAATAACTTGCAATATCTCCTTTTGTTTTTACACTAACCAATCAGGCATCTCCACTACTACCAGGTTTTTAACGCTGCTAATGTAAATCCAATAAAAGTAGTCACCCTGCACAAAGTCTGCAGCATGACCATGTCATTCCAGACAAACTGGCAGAAAAGCAGGGACAGAACGAGCTACTATAATTTCCAGTGAAACCTAACGCTATTTGGTCATGGACATATATATGAAACACAACGGTGAGTGTTTCAGAATTTGCAATGGAGGTTTCACAATTCACATTATAAACTTGTTTAAATGAGGACTTGAAAAATACCTTTCTTCCTGTTCATCGTGTCATACTTTCAGACACATCTATTATCACTTTGTTCTATTTTAAACACCTGTTGAAAATTAATTCCTTAGCTGATCTTGTTATTACCTTAAACTTACTTTACTGCTATGGAGCCTCCTTAAATCCCAGGCAAAACTTCTCTTGACTTCTTCTTGACTTCACTTGACCTCTGAGTGAAAGGTTGGCCTGAGCAAAGGAACAGTGCAAGGAGCGCAGGGCTGAGCCCAGGAGGAGAGCTGCACCCCACCTGTTAAACTCCTCTGTGCTCTAGCATAGCAAATCCTTGCTCTGATTCCCTACTTGCAGGAGAAAAACAGGAACAAAAAGTAACCCCTTTTCTCCCCCAGAATATTCAAATGCCATCTTACAGCTCTACATTGGAACGAAAAGACAGTGACTTACCAATAAAACTCTGAGAGGTGTGAAAGGTGAGGAGCTACCAGGGGACTATGGAGTAGCCGTCGAACATGAGGGCAACAGTCCCTACATCCCGAGTGAGCGAAGCATGAATGAGACAGATCTGTCAGACGGATCTAAAAACTGCACAGTAAGGAGTGTCCCGCCCCCCGCCACAGCTATACAAAGGAAAGACGAGCCTTTCTGGCGTTCAAAGACTCAAGACCCTTTTTCACTGCAGAGAAGCAGGTACCCCAACAGGCAAGTATCAGTCTGACGGGACTTCAGGCAAGTTACGGTAACTGCAAGGGAGACGGTGCTATACACCCTGTTCAAACTTCTTAAAGTTCACTTTTATCTTACGGAAACCATTTAAATCTTTTTCAAGTTTAAGTAATGTTCCAGCAGGATTTTCCCTTTTCACTTTAAGTTTCCCTTAAAGGGAAACTCTAGTAGCTCTGGCTACTCAGTTCAACTCCCTCTTCAGATCTATGCCAGTGTCCTTAAGATCTAACACATGCTCAGGATTCCTAATAACATC